TGGCACGCCGTGCCCACTCCGGCCTTGTCACCCTGGCGGACGCCCTCGCCCTGCCGTTCCGCGAGGAGGCTTTCGACGCCGCTTTATGCGTGGCCCTGCTACACCACCTGGCCACACGGGAGCGGCGAGTGCTGGCGCTCAGGGAGCTGGCCCGGGTGCTGAGGATCGGGGGCCGTGTGCTTATCACGGTGTGGGCCATGGAACAACGCTACGGCAAGGTACGTCCTTCCTTGTATACCACAGTTGAACACTTGGTGTGCGAAATTGCTAAAGTGATTCGTTCAATTTTTAAATATATAGATCAAGATGACGATTTGCTGATGGCCCATTTGCTGGGCCATTGTGAAGCCTTTTTTTTTTTTTAATTCAATAAAAAAGTGCCCAATGCGTGATTCGAGCCTATATCGTGGCTGTCGGTTTATATAACCACACACTTCTCCACCTTAAAATTTAACAATTGAACATATTCAAACATATTTAACAACGTTTTAACATATGCAAAGATGTTTTTAATGTCTTTGCTTGCTTTTACATATTACTAACTCAATATGCAATATATATAAGTGTGTTAAAAAAATAGAAAAGTGGCCAGATGTTGATAATAAAGACAAAATTGGCATTTCTCCTCACCGCTTACATGAGTATTTTAGATGGCAGAACGCCATCTAGTGGAACAAAAATGAACTAAACGTTGATTTAGCTTATTCTAAAGATATATTTGGTCAACCCAATTTCTTGATAAATCAAGAAAAGTCAACCACATACGCGTTTCGGGCTGTTGGCCCTCGATATATATAATATATATATGTCATAATATTCGGAAATATATAAATAAAATGGCCTGTGTACAAGGGAAGATAGCTGGGTTAAACCCCCTTGGTAAACAAGTGTCAAGTCTTCATTCTCCCCTAGAGGTTTATCTCACTCAAATCGGTTTAAAAGCGGCTGGATGTGATAAGAAAAACACAGTTCTCACCGAGGTGGTCTCGACACCAGTTGTTCTAGGGGTTGTCCTTCTATCTTTCCTCCCCGATCTATTTCCTCACGGGGCCTCTGGATCCTGTGTGTCCTTACCACCCATCACTCAACCACCACGACTGCTTCTAACCAACATGCCACACTACAGTCATCTTACAGCATAAACTACATTACTACATATATATATTAATAATTTTAAAATATATATTTCATTTGATACATTTTTGTAATCATCATTTTGATTGTTTGTTCCTTAACGCTTGCTCGCTGTATGTAACGATTATATGTTTCCTAATCTGGTTTTTGTACCAAGTCACTTCCCAACCTTGGTTAACCATATACAGACAGTGCTGCTAAGGCATCCACTCGACATTCTAAGTAGTCGTTATAATGAGGTTGGTCGCTATAGAGAGGGTGACCGATGTTCTTGCTGTACAGTTCGAGTCCCAGGATGTCCTGATTCCACTCCGTAGAGTCCCCCGTTCCGACCAGAATGAAGGTAAGTTCTTATTCAAAACACACAACTATAAAATAAATAAATCTTCCAGGGCTAAGTTTCTTGTGCAAATTTTTATTTTCAAGCTTTCAGACTTGTCAGTCCTTCAATAGGATTATCACGTACACAAATATACTTCATTTCCTGGATATAGATTTAAAATCACAACAAGTTTCTGGAGATGAGTTTTTTTTTTTTTCATTTTTATTAATTTAATCTTAAGCTTTCGGACATATCTGCCTTTCTACAGGACTACACCATAACTGACTGGAAAGACGTCTTGGCGACACATACCTGGATGCCCACCGACACGCTTCGTGGACCAATTAAAGGAACTCACTGGTTTAACGATCGCCGAGATGGTACATTGAGCTTAAGACAGAGATGGCTGGCGTCATGTTTGGGATGTAATATATACAGTGGGCCACAACGTTCGATCGCGAATCTTCTTCTTCTTTCTTATCTCCACTCAATCACACTAAGGTACACTGCGGCCTGTGATTGTAAAACGACACTAGAAGTTACATCGCATGAGTTTCTTTTCAACGACAAATTATTTTTTTTATATTTCAAGGTGAAATATCGACTATTTCTAACCTTTTTGGATGAGGTATGAAAGGATGAATTATGAAGAGTAACGACGAACGGAAAAATGGGAAACCCATTTCCCATCCCTGGACACTTTTATTTTTCCGTTCGTCATTACTCTTCATAATTCATCCTTTCATACCTCATCCAAAAAGGTTAGAAATAGTCGATATTTCACCTTGAAATAAAAAAAATTAATTTGTCGTTGAAAAGAAACTCATGCGGTGTAACTTCTAGTGTCGTTTTACTAAGGTATCAAGCTTGTAAAGCTTGAGATTTTTGATGGTGTCTGCCGGGGAAGAGTAGAGCTCATCAATGGATGAGTCAATACAGTCAATAATATGTCTTGGGGTTGCAGGCTGAGAATTGCACTTAGTACATAGTGGGAAAACCCTGCAACCATTCGATATCGTGTATAAAATGATATTACTACAGGAATACATAAACGATCAATAAACGCCGTTATATACTAACACTTAGTATCTAACAGCATATATTGTTATTCGTTTATGTTCTCCTGTAGAATGACAGAGATGCCTGAAACCTTGAAATGGCGTTAATAAAATGTAAAGAAGCCCATATCCAGAAACCTGTTGTATTTTTAAATAAACACAAATATCCCTATCGGGACAATCTCTGTCTGTGGGACAATTGACAATTGAAACAAATTTTATTGACTTCTTGTCAATAATTTACATTAAAAATGGAAATAAAACTAAAATATATATGATCATGCGTGGAATGTGCCCGGGCGAGTGAGCCTTCTTTCCCAGGCGATGAGCGGGTCCTCCGGTCAGCCCAACCTGTACGAAGTACCGGTAGATGATGGATTTGGCCGACGCCAGGATGGCTAGGTCGTCATCTTCGAGGCCAGACCCTG